GAAATGCAGAGAGCCTCAAAGAGGGAAAAGCTTGGCCAAGAGACTAGGAAGAATATCCCCCAGGAATGACAAGAGAGAATTGCCGGGGCCCAGAGCAACAGAGTGTTCAGGTCAGATTCTTGGCAGCTCCATGATTAAGCCAGGAAATCTCAAAGTGGAATGTCTACTGAGAAACTTATGAAGGGAGCCCCAGGCCTCTGAACTTACAGGTGGCTCCAAAAAGCATGACAGAAACAACCGGAATCTGTCAGGGCCAATGCGGCTATTGCATACAGGACAATGGGCAACTCTACTGGACTTGTCTAAGTAACTAGAGCTCAAAATGCCCTTTTGACTTTATCCCCACCTCCAACACAGCACAACCTTAAACACACACACACACACACACACACTGGTACAGATAAAAACCAGGAAATCTTACAGTGTGTAGTAGATATTCTTCAAAGTTTGTGAAAAGGAACCATTCCCTAATATGTTTTACGTGGAATTTCCTTCCAATTTTGAGGGGGGGGGGGTTTGGTATTTTTTTGGTTTTCTATTTAAGTGAATTCTTAAGACAAATTTACCCTATGACTTTTACCTAAATCATCTTAATTGGATGTGAACTCAAAGCTCAGTTTAGGCAGTTGTCCAGACTCTGATTTGCTGAGAGGTGTTCTTGGTATGAGTCTTGTTCTTAGAAGGGTTTGAAATTCAACTACAGATTTCCAAGGGCCTGCTTTTGTGGGTTGCCAGATAGCAAAGCTTCCATAACTACAAGGACACCTGTGAGATTATCCCTTTTCAACAAACACTCTTCAAATTGTAAGGAATAAACTTTAAATGTTTGTGAGGAAATTAGGGAAGGAGATTGAAATTTACTGAAATGGGAGGTGGGTGGGGGAAGGAAGATGTCAGGGTAGTAGAGAGACAAGAAAAGGATCTTAAAAAAAAAATAGAAAGGATTTGCCAAAGAAGAGAAAGAAAAAGAAATTATTTCTCCATACTGTTTTCCATGGGAGCTGTACCAATTTACATTCCCACCAGCCATGTATGAGGGTGCCTTTTTCTCCACAACCTCTCCAACACTTATTATTGTCTTGTTGATAACAGCCATTCGAACAGTTGTGAGGTGGTATCTCATTGTGGTTTGAATTTGCATTTCCCTAATGGATAGTGAAGTTAAGCATCTTTTCATATAGCTGTTGGCCATTTGTATATCTTCTTACGCATGTTCCTCAAAAAATTAAGAATAGACTTACCATATGACCCAGCAATCCTTCTTCTGGGTATCTATCTCAAAAATTTGAAAACATTTATTCCTAAGGATATATGTACCCTTACGTTCATTGCAGAATTACTCATGGTGGCCAAAACATGGAAATAACCAAAGTGTCCTTTGATTTCAAGCAATGAAATCATGGGGGTGCCTGGTTCCTTCATTGAGTGAACTTAGCTCCATCGCCAGCCTTGAAAACAAGCAGGACTTCAGGAAATACTTGTGGCACTAGAGCTAAATTTCATTCATCGAGATGGGAGAACACCCTCATCTCAGATCTTCTCTTCAAACACCACATTTCCTGCTTGAGCTTAATTTGGCTGCCTCCCTCACCCTTAAGCTGTGAACTAATAGCACATTAAGTGGCCCTAATCCCCTAGCTCATGTGCTTCACATCAGTGGTATACCAAAGGCAATAACCAAATACTGGGAAACATGAGTATATGAATAAGAAGAGATACTGATAAAGCAGCAGCTTTCTGTGACATTGTGGCCTACGTCAGCTGTGTGCGCCTGGTATCACCTTAATTATGAACATCCTTTAAGGAGAAGTTCTAAGAAGGCAGAGACTGGCTAACTGAATTCTCTGCACCCTCACAGTCCACTCGGTGACCTCAATAACAGCTTCAGCCCCCAACATCTCTTCCTCTATACTCACAGTTTTGAGATTCTTTCCTCCACATTTCTCTTGGGGTGGCTGGGACAAAAGGTAGAGAGGCTCAGGCCAGCCCAGACTCCCCTGCGGTCCCAACAGGATACCCAGCATTAACCCCTTACCTTCTGGGAAGCTCCTTAGATCTTCCCATTTGGGGATTTTTCATTTCATCTGTGCTTCAAATTGCTGGCTGGAGGTGGCCCACTGGAAGGTGGCTAAAGGCAAGCAACAATCTTTAGACAGCTTGGCCTTTCTTGACTCTCAAGAGAAGTCTTCAGGGATGTTTTAGAGAATACTGTTTATTCTAGAGAAGGGATGGAAATAATACAATTGTCCAAAAATGCTTAGATCGAAAATAAATGGTGCTATATGCATATGACAGAATAATATCAAAGAGTTAAAAATAAAAGACCTAGATCTACACGAACTGACATGGATAAATCTTGAAAACTTAATATTGCTTGAAAGAAAATAAGATGCAAGATGTTAGACTATAACAGTTGTGTGAATATTTTAATCAATTCTATATATTGCTTATGGATACATATATATATGTAAATAAATAAATGCAAGAAAGTAATTAAAATATGGACTGGAAATTGCAAATCTTTGATGTTGGTTACCTCTGGGGTAGGAGAAATCTAAAAAAAATAGGGGTATAGAAAAGGTTTTATGTGTTTTAAAAGTATAAGATGCATTATAATGAAGTAAAATTATCTACAGAATACGTTATTTATATTAAATATCATCATTTACCTAGGAAATCCCAAAGAATTCACAAATAAACTAATAGGAACTATAAGATAGTTCAACAAGGCAGATGGATACAAGATCAACAAATTTTTAAAAATCTATCGAGTTCCTCTACATTAGCGATAACAAATTAAAAAATGTTAAAAGAAAAAAAGAAAAAATAATATAGTACTTAAAATATTTTCTTAAACTTAGTTAAGTATGTTCAGTCATCTTAGAAGAGCACTCAAGCCACAGGCCTTGATTCTCCACTTTAGGATCAATGCAGTTTTTGTGCGATAATGTGAGTACAGCAAGAACTGCTTCCTACAACACTTCGTTCCCCTCTCCATGCTTTACAGGTAAGTCTCTATCCCAGCAGCAACAGCAGTGAGAACCCTCAGTTTATAACCTATATCCTATGAATTTATGTGGCATAAACCCTAGGTGTTTGAAGCAGTCAGTGGAAGAGAGAAAGCAAGAAACATTCCAAGGAAAGGAAAGGGAATGATGTAGACCTGTCAAAGAAGGGGAAAGGTATAATTCCTGGTGGACTCAACAGCAGGTAAAAAGGAAGAAAGGTAAAGATTACAGAGTATGCAGAGGTGATCAGAGCATGAGTATAGAAGGGTAGCATAAGCCTCAAATTCTGAATTCTTTGGAATGACAGTTAAAGGAGGCACTAGGCACCCTGAGGCAAGAGATGTGGATATGCAGATGATGTCTCAGATGGAGAGGCTGGGAAGCATAAAACCAGTTAGGAAGCTGGTATATTATTGTCAAAATAATAATGACAACACCAGATCACTAGAACCATTGTTAATTCAATTAAGCCTCACGGAAGACTCACTACACATCCTGAAAATGTCTATGGGACTTTGGAATTAAACGTTATTCTTCTTAAGTTGGCGAAATCTCTAAACTTCAGATCATTTCCTCCAATTCCATTAGTCCTTCTAAGGCCTGGCTTTGGCCCCCTATTCAGATTAGGAAGGCACATTACTCCCCCTTAACCTTGAAGACCGTGGACAACCTCATGCATCAAGATGAGTCTTCAGTGCCTCCTGTGTGCCTTTAATTCCAGTGGGGTGGTAGCAGTGGTGTGTGGATGAAGTTCAGAGGAAATGGGGGTCAAAAACTTGAGAGGCTAGAATTATAATTTATTTATAAATTGAAATCTTAATATCAGAACTGGAAATATCAGAGCTCACTGGCTGAAACTCCTAAAACAGTGATCTCCACCCCAAATACCTCACTGTATTCAAATGGCCTCTTTTTGAGTACTATAACAAAGTCTCACCATCTCAGGAGGACCCTGTTCCATTCATAGCTTCAAGACGAAGGACTTTACCCTCTGCCCTGGTATTTGCAAAACCACAACTAACAGTCCTTCATTCATGCCAGACCTCAGGAGATATGAGGACCACCCTTCAGGCTACTGAAGTTTCCCTTCTTGGTGCTTTCAGTTGGACATGGTTTCCACAGCACCTGCTACCTTCCAAGGCTTCATCTGAACTCAGTGTAGCTTTTCATGGTCTCATGTGAACTGTGGTATCCAGCTTTGGAAAACAGACACACAGAAGCTTAATTGATCCCAAGAGCTTGGGTATTTGTTGCTTCTGGAAAAGGATAGTGGATATCTTTGGCACTTCTGGGAAACCTTATTCACAAACCACTAGAGAGATAGATGCAGACGACAGATACATACATACATACATACATGAGAAATAGATGCTTTTTTTTTTTTTCAGAAAACGCCACAATATTTTATTAGCTGATGCTCAGACCAATGGAACAGAATTGAGAAACCAGAAATAACCCACAAATAATTTTCAACAGAGGAGCCAAAAACATACAATGGAGAAAAGAAAGGCTCTTCAATAAATGGTGCTGGGAAAATTGAAAAGCCACATGCAAAAGAATGAAACTAGACTATTTGTTACCATATACTAAAATCAACTCAAAATGGATAAAAGCCCTAAATATAAAATCTGAAACAATAAAATGCATAGATGAGAAAGAAAACGTAGATATTAAACTTATAGGCCTTGGTCTTAGAAAGGATTTTATGAATTTGATCTCAAAGACAAGGGAAGTAAAAGCAAAATGAATGAATGGGACTGTATCAAACTGAAAAGCTGCTGGACAGCAAAAGAAATCATCGACAAGACAAAGAGGCAGCCAACTGAATGGGGGAAGATATTTACAAACAACGCCTCCAATAAGGAACTAATATCTAAAATATGTAAAGAACTCATACAACTCAACAACAACAACAACAAAATCCAATTTTTAAAAAATATGCAGCTAGATGAATTTAATTAAAGAACATATCCAGGGAAGTTTTGCAAAACAGCCTTTATTGCGTATGATGTTAATGTTAGACTGAGCTCTGGTCCCTTCATCTTCCTTCATACCACTGGTAGTCTGCCTGCTACTATCCGGATGGTCCTATCTTCTCCCTGAAAGTGAGAAAACAAACGAGGCAGAACAGGAAGAGGCAAGAAGTGATACGTGCTCTGCCAGTCAGAGCTACCCTTCACTTTGTCTTAAAGCTCCGAGCCACACACACCACAATGAGTTTGCTTTCAGATCAACTACAGCAAGATGAAGTCTCTGGGGGTATTTCCAGATCTCTTGCGACCTCATTTTCATGTATCTCCCTCTCCATAATCCCCTTTCCCTCAGAGGACTCTGCCCATGGCCACAGTGATCCCAACTCAGGCCAAAGGCTCTCACTCCTTACACCTCTGCCCCTGCACAGCCCCGCCCTTTCCTCATACCACTCCTGGCCCTCGAGGTTGTGCTGAGCACTCTCTGCCGAGAAGGGCCACTGGCGGTATTTCCTCTTGAGCGAGGTCAATCATGGAGACACTGAGAGCAGTCCTGTGAAAGCTCTCCACTTTCTCGTTTACATAAACGGAAGCCAATTCCCTGGAAGCGCTGGGTGTGCCACAAGCAGATGCAGCTGCAGAGCCACCAGGTAACCCAGCGCAGCCCGGCAGCCCCTTCCCCAGCTACCTCTGGGCCTTCATGGTTCAGGCTCAGAAGACTGCACCAACCTCAGGCCTTACCTCGCCCAAGAAAAGGCCACACCATCTTCCAGGATCTTCTGGTCCATGAATCTCAGTTGCTGTGTGGAAACCAAAACAGAGAAAGACACTTTTTAATTAAAGAGGAATGGTATTCTGTTAGCCCTTGGAAATTCTCGGAACTTCCTGCAGGGGCTAAAAAACTCAGGATAAATTCCCACTTACAGTCATGACTTTATTAAATGCCTGGGCAAACAGCAAGAAGCCCAGCTGACTGCCCTTCTGTTGTTCCCTGAGCTGACACTGCCCCCAGCTCTCCCTTATTGAGGCCTGGGCCTGGATTGGAGAGACAGTACTGGCTTGGGGAAGGCACGGCTCCCTCAGCAGACCCAGCCCCTGCTCACTTCCTGTCCTTTGGAGAATGAAACACACAGCCTGGACACTGGCTCCAGGCCCTTCTCATGCCAAGGTCTTCTTCTGTGGGCTGTTCCTCCTCGTTCCCCTTTTCTTCTTGCTTCTCTGGCTCCTCCTCTTCCTCCTCCTCCTCTTCTTCCTCCTCCTGGGTGCTCTCCGATTCCATGTTGCCTGTCAGCTGAGCCATGGTGAGGTGAAAGACGTGGCAGCTGAAACCCTCCCTGATCCCGAACTGCACGTGCTCCTGGAGGCTCTCCAAGGTGGAGAAGACCCGGCAGCAGGCCATGCACCTGAAGCCAGTCTCCATGGTCACCAGCCAGTCAGGTGTCCTGGCCCTGGGTCTCTCCTCAACTGTGGGTGACCCTGGTGGGCTATCTGACTCTGTCCTTTCCTCATGCTCTTTCTCCTCCCCGCTGGGCTCGCTGTCAGACAGGAGGTTTCTGGTGGACACATCGGAGGGGGGAGTACCTACTCGTACGTCCTCAGGAAGGGTCACTTCTTCCATCCTCGGCTGCTTTTCTAGTGACTCCGAGGTTTCCTCTGTCTCCCAGGAGACAGCCACACCCTTTTTCATTTGCACCTGCATGTAGTATATTTTCATACCCCTTTCCTCTTTGTTTACATTCAGAGAGGACACACAAGTCTTATAGGATGAAGGGGATGAGAAGGAGACATGTGGTGAGGGGAAAGCAGTCTCCCCCCGTTCCTGAACCTGGGCTAGGGGTGATCTAGGCCGGGGACTGTCTCGATGTAATCTCCGGATTCCTGGGAAAGGAAATTAGAAACATAAGAATGTATGGGGGGCATGTGAAAGCTGAGGGAATAAGTATGACTATGTGGGATAGAGGAGGGACTGTGGTGGGAGGTAATTGTGTGATGCTCTTGGTGTTTGCTGTTCGTATTATGGGGTAGTTTATGTGGTGTCATCTGAAGTCTTTTCATTCATGAGTGTAGGGATGTTGGAGGGGTGTCTGTATGTAGGGGTATGGAGTATGGTGGTGAGGGCTATGGTATGTGGGATGGTCGTGGGCTGTGTGTGCTCTGACAAGGATGTGAGTTTGTGATATTGTCGGTGTGTTATTTGTGAAACGTGGGCAGTGGTGTGGGACAGGGCATTGTAGGTCATGTGTTTGGGTTTTGTGTGTGGGTGCTAAGCATGGATATGTGTGGAGTGTGGCTGTACGTGTGAGGTGCGTGGGCCTGGGCTGGTGGTCCCGCTCCCATGCTGAAGCCCTATGCTGAGGAACCATCCTCCAGAAGCAGAAGCAAAGGCAAAACTTACATGTTCCTCCAAAGGCACTTAATCTAGTCCTTATTCCCTAAACCTCAAGCCCAGATCTTTCTGGCCTCTGCTCTTTCCCCACCAGTGTCGCACAAGGGCTCACTCTGCCACAGTGAGCGCTTATCCACACTCTGCTAACAGCTACGCCATCCTCCCAGGCTCCTCCGCAGAACCCTGATCGCCTCCGACTGCCCTGAACCCTGATCACCTCCGATGGCCCTGGATTTCCTCTGAGCCTCATGCTTGGACCTCTGTGCCTACTGCCGTGCACCCAAGGAGCCCTGCACCTGACGAGCCCCACGCCCTTACCGCCATGGAGGAGCTTGTGTGGAGAAGAAACACAGGAGAAGTATTCAGAAGCAGAGGAGACCTCCCCTGCCCCTGGGCCGCAGCCTTTGGCCACCTCGGTCGATTCAAGCTGAGGAGCATCCTCTCGTGACTTCAAGATTCCTGACGAAGGTATGAAAGCCTCAGAGATATGGCGGGTTAGGCATGTCTGTGAATCATTCATCTGTGCAACAAATATTTACAGAGTGGCTGGCACATGTCAAGTGCAGTGAACACACATGGCCCACAGCCTGGTTCCCAGTGGATACTCTGGTATTTAATTATAATCAACAATTACTTTGTTAGTGTCTTGTTAGGAATGTAGGCCTGGGTGGTGACTGTGAATATATCAGAAGTTTGAGAGTGACGTGTATCAGCTAACTCTTTGATAAATGCGGAATTGGTATGGTGACTAAGGTGGAATGTGTGTATCTATTTCTATGGAGAGTCTGTGTGCATAGTTTGTGTTCACAACTCAGGAATTATGCAACATATAACCTGATTATACAGTATGGTTTGTATTTATGGTATATATTCACTCATTCATTCATTCATTCAGCAATAATCAGTGAGCAGTTCTATGTATCAGGCACTGTTCCACCATTCTAGGCTTGGATAGTGCTGAACATTCTAGTAGGGGAAGACAGACACTAAACAGAAAAACGGGAAGAATATAATATATGAGCTGGTGGTAAGCATATAAGGGCTGCCAGATTTAGCAAACAAAAATAGAGAATAGCAGTTAAATTTGAATTTCAGATAAACCATGAATAATTTTTAGTGCAAATATTCCCATGCAATATTTGGGTCATACCTACTTTTAGTGTGTAAGTATATCCTATACACTATTTGGGACCTACTCATACTTAAAAACTATTTGTGGTTTATCTGAAATTCTAATTAAATTGGACATCCTATATTTTATCTGCCAACTCTGACAAAGGTTAGTGAATCTGTGTTTTTTTGTGGTGTATGCAAAGTGGATCTGGTAATACTATACAATGTGTTATGTGGGTGGTGTACATGACATGTGACTGGTTCTTATGGAGGTATTTAGAAATAGTTGAAGGTAGCTGTGTTTGTGTAAGGGCTCAGGATATGTATCTAGAGTGTGATGTGGGAAGAGAGGACAGTATGTACACAGGTTGTATGTAAATGTAGTGTAGAAGCAATATGTGTGTATACCTATATATTCTGTGTGTGGTTTAATAAAGAAGTGTGTGGAGATGTGCAATGTTTTCTGTATCAGAGTGCACAAGTGTGTATATTAGTGACCGTCTCGTGGAACACCTTTCACAAGAATTCTGTTTACACTCTTACATGTATTGAGTGTCACCCAGGTCCAGGCATGATGATAGGAACCTTACCACACAGACTACACAACTGATGAGCACTCTACCCCCATTCTCCCTACAGCTCCCCAACACACACACGTAGAAGAAAATATCCTGAAGTGCAAGAGGCAGAGACAACCAGTGCCTTCCCCATCCAGTCCCAGCTGCTACCTGAAAACCTGCCTAGTGTCCAGGCCTCCATTCCTTATAGTCTTCAGGCCCAGGGCCTTGTGGAAGCTGCTGACCTCCAACCTCGGGCAGCTGCCTCTGGTGGATCTCTGGGAGGTGCTCCATTTTGTGCCGCCTCTGATACGTGACCACCCCCTTTCTCAGGGCAGACGCCTGTTTACATTTAATGCATGCAGTCTCACGTGGCCGGAGGGTACACTCATGGCTCTCCGAGCTCCCTGCAGGTCTCCGACAACATTTCCCACACTCATCCACCTGGCTCAGTCTCTGGAAGCCCCATCCCTTCCTTTCCCTTGGTCTCTGGGAAGCCCACACCTGTAGATTCACAAACTCATGGATCAACCGGTAAATTCCTCCT